TTAGAATAGATTCTACACTTGTATGCCTTTCATATTGGGTAACATTAGTTACATGATTCCAAAAGTAAAGATAACCAGTTTTACCATCAACTAAACCCTTCCATGGTTCGGGAAAAGTGAGATATAGCAGTGAATATCTTGAAACAGCAAAAGAGACAGTCACTGTAGCAGTCATTCCAAGAAAATGCACCAACAAAAATCTTCTAGTTCATCCCTATGATGTTTATTTCTTCCAGTAAGGTTGTTACACTGGATGCCACCGACAACAAGGTCGAATCCGTTAAATCTACTCATCAATTGCTCCAAACGATCACATTCAATTCTTGAACATTTCAAGGATATGCCAAGACAGTAAAAGGCAACATCTGCATCACTGATTCTAGAGAAAAAAGACAGAACATTGATACCACCTGGGAACATGTCTTTAGCAGATCCTCCTCCTCGTGTATGGTTTTTAGGGAAACCTAGAAGCATTTCCACCTCATCAGGTTCAAGAGGAACAACTTTATTCCTTCCAACCCATACCAGATTCCATTTTCGGCAATCATCAAGAACATACTTTTGGACACTCGAAGAAGACTCATCATAAGCTTCAAGAGCCTTACGGATCCTTTTTGTCAATTTGGCACTTCCTGTATATATTTGTAAACAGATCAACTTTGTTCTGGGAGCCCAGAAAGGCCACCATTTTGTGTCAATGAAAAAGCATCATGTATGGTGCAAGGAGGAAGCAGAATAAAAGTAAATCTGTTCTCAATTGGCAGATTATGAATATAGCTCATTTTCCGTGCAGCAGCACAAAAATACTTCAAATCTACAAATTCTGGATTTACATCGTATAAGTACCATGACATTTCAGTTCAAGCACCAACTGGAGCAAGTGCCACGTTTTCATAGTAGAAATAAGGAGACCCAATAGCATCTTCTGGAAGTGTTCTTTGAGTTATCTGATCTGGTTTGGTATGAACCCCAAAACCAATCATTAGATTTGAAAGATGAATTTGCTCATAGTAGAAATAAGAAGACCCAATAGCATCTTCTAAAAGTGTTCTTTGAGTTATCTGATCTGGTTCGGTATGAACCCTAAAACCAATCATTAGATTTGAAAGATGAATTTGATGATAGTCTTCATTAAGAAGCTTCTTTTCAAGCTTCCTCTGCTTCTTCCTTTTCAAAAATATCATAACCCGAGTTTTGCCTTTTCTTGTAATTAGGATCATTTCATAATGGCTTCTTATCTTCTCTTGAAAGAAGTGCGTTAGCAGCCTTAGCCATTTGAGCAGTATATATAAAATATGTCAACTCTGCAATTGATGAATTTGGATCACATATCTCCATGGCTATTGAAGCCTCAGGCTCTGAGTACCCCATTTTCGTCAAGTATAACAGTTTATTCTCCTCATCAGAATAAAAAATTCAGGATTTCCTCAGTAGCAGAAGAACTATCAATATCTGTGAAATCATCCTGAAAGATCACTTCATAATCAGATGAGTAGTTATCAGAATCAACATGTTGTATGGAAAAGTATATTCTAGAAATAGCCTTCACTGAAAAAAGGTTCACTGTGTCAGCCTGGAATGAGTTACCAAACGATTTATACCGCTCTGTCCAACTAGATCCTTCCAGATCCAAGAAGTGGGCACCTCATTCAGAAGAGGCACATATCTCAATCATTTCCGTCAGAATGATTGAGCACTTCTTAAGTTTGTGACAACATAAAGAGATTTCCTCAAGTTACTTGACAACTGCTGTTTAGTGACACCAGAATGAGAGTATTCAAGATAAACATATTTGAGGCACGAATAAAGCTACAAGTACCCACAACAGTACATTGTCAAAATTGAACCTCGTGGGGATCACGATATTGAAATCAAACAAACGTTGGAAGTAAGCCTTACAGTTTAGAAGGTTGGGGGCATTCTAAAGGTCCAATTCAGACAGATTCATACGGGACATCTTGAAACCCATTTCAAATAGAAATAGAATAGTGGGGCATTTTGGGTATTCTTGGAGGCTCATTTCAACCAGAAATAGAATGTTGGGACATTTTGAAGGTTACTTCAGACAGATCCATATGGGGCATTTTGAAGTCTCAGATTAACAAGAAGCAAATATTGGGCATGTTGAAAGCCCCTTTCAAATATAATCAGGAATATTGATGTATTTTAAATGTTGGGGCATATCGAAAGCCCATTTCAGACAGAAATGATTCATGTGGGACATTCTGAGGGCCCACGTCAGTATGAATATTTGGGCATTTTGAAAGCTCACATCAACAAGAAGCAAATGTTGGGGTATGCTGAAAACATATTTCAATCATAATCAGGAACATTGACGCATTTTGAATGTTTACGTCAACAAATGTTGGGGCTTACTGCAAGCCCATTTCAATCAATTGGAATGTTGACACATTTTGAATGTTTGTATTAGCTAATGTTGGGGCACACTGAAGGCCCACATCGTCATGTGTTAAAGATCATTGATTTTGACCAAATATTTCTAATCAGACAGAAAGACATGAAGAATGAAAAAGGTAAAACAGTGACAGTCGAGCTATCTATACATAATTACTTCGTTCATCAGGCAGTTACATCAGGGTCATGTTGTTGAACAAATATTTACTCAGCAAGTATGGTTTCAAATACCCAATCTTCTTAACCATGTGTCACATGACAGTGTGTTCTTTGTTAATCTATATCATGATTGCATGAATAAAGATGGTCCTCAGGCAAACCAGTCGATCCAGGGTTCAATTCCTCAAAATCTCGGCTTTGAATTTTATATTTTGTGTGTCGGTGATGATTGAAAATATTTCTTTGAGATTCCTGACAGTTAGTTTCAACCATAATGTTGAGGTTACGAAGCTGTTTTTCACATCAGTTGTTGTTTGCTTGATGACATTGAATAAAGAGGCTCAGATTGCATTACCCTTACTCCCATTGTTATTGGTGTTATCATTGCCAGCCAGGGTGAACGGAGTTTTCATATATTTTGGTTTTATCATGGGCGTTTCATCCCCAGCGACAAGAATTTCATGGATATCGTTCTATACATGGCTCTTATAGCTGATGTGTTTTCATTTCTTACAACACTCATTATGGAAGAAAACATGATCGGTATTACACTTTCCCTTGCCCAAGTTGATATCAAGATCAGTTGGTATCTCTTATTCAATTCGACACTAGCATATCTTGTGAATTGGACCAATTTTTTGGTCATGCCAGCATTCCATTTGTATTCCCACTGAATTTTGTTTTCAAGAGGTCTTGTGACATCATACAAAAGCTTTGAACACTGTGCAAAGAGCTTCACTGACCAGAAATCTGTGCAGAAGTCACAAGAAATGATGAATGTTTTTCAAATACTTTACAAACATCTTAGCAGAAACCACATGAGATGATGAATGTGTTGTCAAATATTTTACGAACCAGTTATTCTGGTACTGAACCAATGTTGCAATCATATGGTATTTCCATTTATGGATCCAAGATGAAGTTTTTCTTCTTCAACCCCAAGGTCAGAAGTGAGACATGATGAATATTTCTTTCCATTGAAGGGAAGCAGAAATTTTAACAACAAGAAACTAGTGGAGCCAACTAATGTTGAACGACAGGATGTTGTTAAACATCTCGACATGATATGGTCCAAGTTGCCTTATTCGAGATCTGATTAGATGTGAAGACATGAAAGGAATTAGGATAAATCCTCCTTGTGATGTGTTTCAAGAGTCAAATCAGAACAGACTCTACTCTCCTAATTAATCTCTGCAGAGTTTGACATATCTACATCTATACTCTTCAAAGATGATAGATTCTCTTTTCAAAGATGAAAGCTTTATTGAATTTCTGCACAAGTCCAAGCAGAGAAAGTTGGTTTTATCCAAGACAAAATGGGGCATCAAGGTTATAATTTTGATTACGGCAAGAGTTCAATAAATGAAACATTTCTTCTGAGACTTAAATGAAGCAAAAAAGACACAAAGATTGCTCTTCCAAATCAGAAATGCAGTTTGAAATGACATTTTGACCAAGTGAAGAAAGACCAAGTTCACCACTTTGAAATCAAATAAAAATGAACTTAATATTCATGCATCATATTTAGGCATTTGCAAAAATAGGTGCATTTCCATTCATTTTATCCATGTTAAATGTTGACATGAATTTCAAAGATTTTAGCAAAGATTCAAATCCATCACAATGGATCAACATTTCCAAAGAAAGTTCATAATGAGAGGAACTCATATGAAGAAGGAAGAAGAAGTTCATAATGAGAAGAGCTTGTTCAACCTTTTGCTCAAATCCATCACTTGATGGATCAGCTTTTCCAGAGAAAGTTCATAATGAGATGAACTCATCTGAAGAAGGAAGAAGAAGTTCATAATGAGAAGAGCTTGTTCAACCTTTTGCTCAAATCCATCACTTGATGGATCAGCTTTTCTAGAGAAAGTTCATAATGAGAAGAACTCATCTGAAGAAGGAAGAAGAAGTTCATAATGAGAAGAATTTGTTCAACATTTTGTTTGAATTCATCATTTGATGGATCATCATTGCCAGGTAGAGTTCATAATAAGAAGAACTCATCTGAAGAAGGAAGAAGAAATTCATAATGAGAAAATTTTGTTTAACATTTTTCTCGAATTCATCACTCGATGGATTAACTTTTCCAGAGAAAGTTCATAATGAGAAGAACTTATCTAAAGAAGAAAAAGAAGTTCATAATAAGAAGAACTTGTTCAACCTTTTGCTTGACTCTATCAAAGAAGGATATAGATCAGCATCAACATTTCCAGATAAAGTTCATAATGAGAAGAACTTATCTGAAGAGGAAGAAGAAGTTCATAATGAGAAGAACTTGTTCGACTTTAGCTTGATTCATCACCTATGGAGTTGAATGAAAGAAGAACCTCACTTGAGGATCAACATTTTCAGAGGAAGTTCATAATGAGAAGAACTCGTCTGAAAAGGAAGAAGAAGTTCATAATGACAAGAACTTATTCAACCTTGCCTTAATTCATCACATATGAAGTTGAATCAACACCTCTTTTGAGGATCATCATTTCCAGAAGGAGTTCATAATGAGAAGAACTCACCTGAAGAAGAAAAAGAAGTTCATAATAAGAAGAACTTGTTCAACCTCTTATTAGATTTTATCACAGAAAAAGATAGATCATCATTCTAGTGGAAAAGTTCATAATAAGAAGAACTCGTCTGAAGTGAGCGAAAAAATCATAATGAGAAGAACTTATAGCTCAGAAGTTTGAACAATTCAAGCTAAAATTGGTGCTTTATGTCTTTGCTCCATTCTTATTCCACAACAACGAGCAAAGAGGGGCAGCTGTAATCACCATTTTCACCTTGATAGCAGCCCTTCCACATTGTAGCTCCACCTGACGGTTCCAGCAGCTTCCAAAGAAACACCAGTTGTCCATCCACAACAGCAGTGTTCCATTAGTTTCCATCACCTCACCAGTTGTCCCTCCACACCGACATTAACCCGTGGTTGCCCTTTTGTCAATGACATTGCGCCAACAACAACCACCCAGCTGGTTTCCTCTCCCGCCAGCAATGCAAGGTTCTAGATCAAATCATCACAAAAAAATCAGATTTTTATGTAATAAGGGTTAATCTATAAAACCCAAGAGTATTGTAATCTTTTGAGAGGGCCCCGATCCAAAATAGAACAAAAAAAATTGTAATAGGATTTTTTTCTCTAATTCTTCAAAGCAGCAATACAACGGCAGAAATTACATTTCTAAGGTTTTCTCTTTGAATCTGTTATTATTATTATTATTATTATTATTATTATTTTATTTTTCAAACTAGAGTAGCAGTATTAAAAAAAAGACGAACAGGGGATTCGAAATAATAAAAAAAAGAAAAAGGAAGAGGAGTGAGAGTTTACCTTCAATGGTTACCTCGCCGGAGCCTCGGATCAATGGATGGTATAATTTGGGGTTGAGTGGCCGAAAGATAGTAGTATAGTTTGGGGTTCTTTTTTTATTTATTTTTTGATTTAAAAGAGAGATAGGGGCTGAGTTGTCGTTTGGTTTCCGTTGAATGGAAAGAATGTATCCGGTCAGAGCGTAACGACCACCAAATCGGTGGCCAGCGTTGGTGAGCTCTTTCTGTTTAAGCTACGCCAAAATGAGGATGAGAAAAGAGAAAAGAGGAAAGGGCTGGAGAGATAGTGTGAACACAGGGAAGGGGGGTATTGTTTTAGGAATATATTAAAGTTTGGGTTATATCCCCTCAAGCCCCTCTAGTTTAGCTGCATATTTTCATTTGGATGATTAATTTTGGAGTAATCACCCTTTTAGTCCTTCTTTACCACGTTTTGTATATAGATGTATGTGTTATTATAAATATATATATACGTATTATATAAGTGTTTATAACACTTTTATAAATATTGTGCAATCTATATAATATAAATAGTGTTATATATATAGGAATATTAAATATATGTTATACGTATGTTAATATACATATGTACATGCTTAAATATGTTGGTTTTTCTTTCATTTTTCTATGAATTTATATATTAGAAAGTTTACATTTTATTTTAAATGATATGCCTTTAATTTGATTTTTCATTTTATTTTATTTGTCTATAGTAAATACTTTCCCATATATATATATATATATATATATATATATAATTTAATATAAATTATTTTAATCATGTTTTAATATTTATTTATTTTTCAATATTAAGAAAAAGACAGTCTTAATGCGACTAGATGTTCTATTCAGATGTTTTAAAAATAAATAAATATATTATTTATAAAAATATAAAAATTAATATATTTTCTTAAAAATTACTAATAAATTTGAAATAATAGGATTATAAATTAAATATATTGTTGAATTCTTAAATTTCCAATAATAGAGACAACTTATAATTAATAAGTACCAATTTTGGACGCAATAGGGGTGCTAATCCTTCCCTAAACGTAACCGACCACGAACCCTTTTTATTATTAAAAAGAATAAATTTTTGGTTATACGCAAGATCAGTTTATCTTTTAAATTATGTTTTCTTAAAAACTATTTTAAAAGATTATTTTTTGGTATTTGACCTACATAACCCAAAAAGGTCAATGGCGACTCCCAAAATATTTTTTAAATCAAAATCATTTATTTATTCATTTTATTTTTCCTGCCAAGAAAAAAATTCGTACCCGAACGAAAACCGGTTACGACAGTTGCACACAAGCGGTAGACTTTCAAACGTCCCATTCTCGTATACAACGGAACGCCTCGCAGTAGATTAGATCCAAACCTAACACACACCGACCCAAACAATCAAGCCCAACTCTACCCCTATCCGCATCCAATAGTAATAAAACCCGGTTTCAAAACACGTCCAACATTCAACCTGCCCTCTCTGTAGTATCAAACCAACCATCCAACATTCACGAGCTGCTCACTCCCACCTTCAAACATTAGTAACCCTAGACATGGGTTCTCAGACAATTAATTCATAAACCAATAATATATAAACAGTTAATTCTGATTGTTTGCAACACTAGTCAATTAGCAACCTGGTAGAATGGCCTCCTTGCAAATGCATGTTTAAGATGTGGAACTTGGTACGGTTTGCAGACATCTGTGGACTGTGAGAGTGACGATCTCCACGTATATCACCACTTGCTGGAGCCTGCCATTTCAGTCTACCACCATCTGTAGCCACGTTTGCTTTGAATCAAACCTTCCAATGCAATCTTATCCATTACCATATGTTGTACAAAAAGTAGAGCCTGTCACGTGAAGGATCCCTACGTTGACTCATCTAACCACCTCACCATGTGTTCTTGCACGTGTTTCAAATTTACCAGCTGGAGTAAATTGTAAGTTTAACTAAACCTTGTGTGAACGGATAATAGATTTTAAAATTTAATTATGTAATAATACGTGGGGGGGGGGGGGGAATACAAAACTTTACTTCTAAATAATCAATGAAAATCCTTGACGTGGAATCTCCTCCTCCACCTTTGAAGTGGACCTCCTCCAACTGAAAAAACAGGGGCGCGAGCGTGCTGGATATTAATTAACCGACCTTCTTTTTTACTCCAAGTATCGCCGTTGTGAAAATACACAAGGAAGAAGAAACAATCCCTACATTTCTCTTATCCATTCTCTCTCTTCTTCTTCTTCTTTTCTGGATTTACCCCTTCGCTGTCTCTATCCGGTTCAGAAATTCAACGCAAATCAGGTTCTTCGATCCTTTTTCGTAGTTCTGGAAATCGAGAGATCGAATTTTTTGAAAGGAAGGGGAAAACTTGAACGAAGAGTAGTATTATGCGGCGATTCGTGGACAACGCCCTCGCCGTTACCAAAGAGTGAGTTTTTCTCATTTTTAAATTTCCATATATTTATGCGCATGTCGGTATATGCACGTCTCGGATCGTTTTTCTGATTTTTTTTTTTTTTTGTAATGTCTTTGGATTTTTTTGGAGCTTTTTTTTATTGATTCGAAAATTTTCAGGGAACGTCTTTAAGATTTTATTGACAATGTTTTTAGAGAGAAGTAGTTGGGAGCTTTTATTAGCTGAATCAAGTTCAAGAAAAGGGGGAAAATTCATTTCTTGAACCTCTGGGTTGATGATTCGTTTGCATTTTGCTATTAGTTCTCTGTTTTTAGTTCATATATATTCGTTTTACTTTCTATTGAAAAGGAAAATGAAAAAAATGCCCACCCAATAGAACGTAAGTGTTTTCATTAGATTGAAGTATGAGTAGAGAATGCGTTCTTTTTGCAGGTCAGTAAAGACTTTTACGTATGAGTCTTTGAACAATATTGCGAGGTTGATAAATGGAGTGTCGGCACTTTTATTGGCCATTCTTGTCGGAAAGGCAAATAGTCTTGATGGTGCTCAAGGATGGGAGCTTAGGCCCACTTTTCATGGACCTCGATTTCCACGGTGGATGAAGAAGTCTGTATTTTTTTCCTTCGATGTGAGAAAAAAATTGCTCGAGTATCATGGACTATGTTTTTATTTTGCATTACCCACTTGTAAACTTAAGTAAAACCTTTTGCCAGAGTGGTTTAATTCATTAACATCATCATTTAAGTTCATAGTTTCCTTCTTAGATTTGTCTGTCTTTGATCTCTGTTGAGTAATTATTGGAGCACTAAAAGATTAAATGGAAGAGATCAAACAAGTTCTGCTGATTTTTCTTGTCAAGATATTCTGCTGGAGAAGTCTAGCGTTGCTTGCTGACATTTGTGTGTTCTTACATCATAGGTTCAATGTACCACCGTAGAGCCTCTCTTAATTGGCTTCTTAAAATGGTTTTGAATATAAATTTATGACTATCTTGTTAATAATATGCCTAGAAATTTGCATATGGAAGCTTTTATTAAACTCAGATTTGTTGCACCACTTGGTTTCTTTGATGTTACTATCTGCAAAAGAATCCAAAGTAATAGTACTGCTGCATGCAAAAAAAAAAGCCATAGTAATTTTTTCCTCTTTTTTGGTAAAAGCAAATGTAATTTTGTTTTTACTTGACATATTTTTCTACTTTCATCTAAAATCTCTCCTCTTTGCCTCAATCCACACATAGATGAATTATTGAATTTGTGATAAGTGTCACTCTATAATGGAATTTTTACTGTATTAACTGATTGTAATTCCAATTAGTGGTTGACACTTTGGTTTTCTTGTTTATGACAGTGGTGTTTCCTCATTCAACCAGTTCATCCATGAGCTTTCTGTGGATGATACCTCAAGTGTAGAATACTTGTCCACAGAAGATGAGCCTGATGATGGAATATACCCTTTATCACCATCATCTCATGGGTCAAGAACCAGCAAAACAGACATTCACATCAACCACAATTCGCACTGGACAGACTGGGTGGCATACATATTTTCTTGGATTTTATTACCTGCTAGGGTTCTGCTGAGGATATCATTGCTTCTTTTTGTTTTGTTAAATAATCAGGAATCAAAGGCTTCTTCAGATACGGGGAGCCCCTTTCCTAGGACATTCCATTCCTTTAGGAAAGGACACACTTCAAAGGACTATGTTGTCCAGCGCACCATTGACAGGAGACGTGGAGTCATCGAGGTTTATATACTAGGACTTACATCTTACTTCCTCTTCAGCTTATCTGTTTTATTGCCTCTTTGTTTATTTTTCCTTAAACCTTAACTCCTTGTTATGAATGTGTATCAGGATCTTCATCTAGCAATTGAGATCTTCATAGAAGCTATATTTGACATGTTTCACAAGGCTACATATTATGTGTTCTCCCCATCCACAACTTTCAGAATCTTTGGAAAATGGTTCTCATCTTCCTCTGCCGGTGATAAGGATATTGACGATGATACCTTGAATGCTTCAGTTTCCACTTCTACACTTGGAGCCAATCATCCAGCTCCTAGAGAAAGGAATATTACGATTCACCATGCTCTTAACACTGACGCGAGGACATGTCGGGATGTCATAACAGAGCTGGGGTAAGTGTGAGGTTATTTTCAGAATTTTGTTTCCTTTCTTTTCTTTAGCCACAGTAATGCTGCTTCTGTTTCTTACCCCATGTTCCTTGTTCCTGTTTTAGGTATCCATATGAAGCTATTCATCTTATTACTAATGATGGATACGTTATCCTTTTAGAAAGAATACCAAGGTATAATTATTCATTTTCTTTTCGAATTATCACTTTTGCTTGAATGCTATGGTTTTTTACGCCTCTAGTCTGATTTTGTAGACGGAATGCACGCAAGGCTGTCTTTTTACAGCATGGTATTATGGATTCATCTATGGGGTAAGTAAATGCTTGACCCTTTTGCCAGAGCAGTTTTTTGTGGGTTTTGTTTTTTTAGTTATATTTGTCCTTTAACTGGTATTATATTTGGTATTGTTCCAATGGATTCCCAAGAGAAGTTTATTGACATCGCTGAACCATAATGCTTGATGTTGGTTTACCACAATAAACTGTTTCTTTCTGTTAATAGTATTTTGGATGATAACATTATCTGTATTTTGAAAATCCGGTTCATAAATATAATTATATTTCTAATTGAGTGAACTTTTGTTCTGGAAGTTTGATTAAAAGCTAATGTTACTAGTATCTTGGATGATAATATTATCGGTATCTTGAAAATCGGGTTCTCAACTATAATCTAATCAAGTGAACTTTTGCTCTGGTAGTTTAACTAAAAGCCACCACTTTGTTTGGAAGTACCAAGCCTTAACCCCTCGTAAATGTAATTAGCTAGACGAACTATTACTTATTCTCTTCTATCAAGAATGACAATAGTACAAGACTTGTTACATCTGAAGAATCTGTTTCTTTTTCTTCTTTTTCCTTAACCCCTATTAAATGTAATTAGCTAGACGAACTATTACTTATTCTCTTCTATCAAGAATGACAAGAGTACAAGACTTATTACATCTGAAGAATCTGTTTCTTTTTCTTCTTTTTCCTTTTTAAATTTTGGGGGAAAGGGGGTTTTGAACCTAGCTCCTTGAGCACGCAAAATGTTGTGAACTGAATTCCCTTTTCTGCAAGAAAGAAAATACCCCTCAACCATGCTAGAACCCCTTGTTTGAATACGTAATATTGAATGATGGGAAAAAGAATGATTATTGTTCTTATTACAAAGTATATGCATAATAGCTTACATATTTACATCCATTACTCGTGTCTCAAGTTTGAAAATGAAGATTTCCATGAACTATGACTATTGTCCCAGTATTTCTTAGGTGTTATTTTAAGTTGTAATGTCTCTAATATCCACTTTTTGGTCTAATGGTTTCTTTTTAGAGGGGGAAAAAGATGTTTTTGGCAATAGTTCCACTATTTTATGCATCAAAGGAATCATCAATCATTATTCTTGTGATGACATCAATAAATATTAGTACTTAGTGAGTTCTTATTTTTCTGATTTGTCACCATAGATTGGAATGAGTTGAAGAAGAGGATTTATGTACATGTCTAGCTGTTTTTAAAACTAAATATCAGATCACTGGACCAGCATTTATATGGAATATATGATCTTGCATCTATTGAGAACTTGAATGCATACATGTGACATCAATTAACATAATCCCTTCATTGTCTTCTTATTGTTATCATTGTCGAAACCTTATTATTTACTTCCCCTACTACTTGTAACTCCTTTTCCCTTTTTACTAAAATATTTCAGTTGGGGAAGTTCTCATGTGTTGATTTGTTTTCTCAGTTGGGTTTCCAATGGCGTTGTTGGTTCTCCAGCTTTTGCAGCATTTGACCAAGGTTTATTTTACGCTTGAAACTATTTGTGTCATCCATAGTACATTGGTATAAAATTGCAGTGAATGATGTTATTGCTTGAATTACAGGCTATGACGTATTCCTTGGGAATTTTCGTGGTTTAGTCTCTAGAGAGCATGTGGATAAAAATATCTCCTTAGGACAGTAAGTAAATATATGATTCAATTGTCATTATCTTTGGTTTATACCAATGAATTGTTTATCTATCTTTTACTTGTCACTAAACCATGCTATTTTGAGCCAGATATTGGCGATTCTCCATAAATGAGCATGGGACAGAGGATGTTCCAGCTATGATAGATAAGATTCACGAAGTTAAGACTGCTGAATTGAAACTTAGCCAACCCGATGGAGAAATAAAAGACGAGCAGCCATACAAACTTTGTGCAATCTCACATAGCATGGGTGGAGCTGCTATGCTGATGTATGTTATAATTCGCCGGATCGAAGAAAAACCTCACAGGCTCTCAAGATTGATTTTGCTTTCACCTGCAGGTTTTCATGACGAGACTAGTTTTTTCTTAACAATGGCGCATTATGTTTGTCTTCTTTTGGCCCCTATCCTGGCGCTTTTCGTGCCTGCCTTGTATATACCTACCAGGTTCTTTAGAATGCTGTTCAACAAGTTGGTCAGAGACTTCCATAACTACCCTGCCGTTGGGGGACTGGTTCAAACTATATTGAGTTATGGCTTCGGCGGAGATAGCTCAAATTGGGTTGGGGTGCTGGGATTACCTCACTATAACATGAATGACATGCCGGGTCTGTCGTTTCGTGTGGTCCACCACCTCGCACAAATAAAAAGAACGAAGAAATTTAGAATGTATGATTTCGGGAATGCAGCAGTCAATATGGAGGTGTATGGATCGCCGGAACCAATAGACTTGGGCGAGTATTATTCGCTGATAGATATTCCGGTCGATTTGCTGGCTGGGCGGAAGGACCAGATAATTAGTTCATCGATGGTTTCAAAGCACTATAGGTTGATGAAGGATGTAGGTGTAAATGTATCATACAACGAATTCGAGTACGGGCACTTAGACTTCACATTTGCCCACCATGAAGAACTCTTGGCATTCGTGATGTCAAGCCTGCTCCTTATGGTGGAGCCTGATCTGAAGCGCCACTCTAGTCAAAGGAAGGCTCTAAAGTTGAGAAAAAGGGGACAGTCTAGCCCTGAAGTCTCCTCCGAATGATTGATTGAGTACGTACAAAACCATCCATTTCCATGTGTTTTTGCTTTTGGATTCGGCATGGTATCTTGTTGTATCGGATGTTGGGACTTTGTTGTATGTGAATGAATTGCTGGATCATCAGATACATTGTTGTAATTAGTAAAACAAGTACTGAATGGGTTTTGACTCATTTGCTGACGTTAACATACAACTTGTGACTTTGAAGCTCGAGTTTAATATACTCTACTTCATTTAAGATAGACGAGGTTTGGACCTATTTTCAGTCATACCACGGTTTGTACGTAATCGGGGATACGGACCAGTTTTATGGCCGTCTTGAGTTGGATATGAAAATTGAAGACTTTTTGTCTGGATGTTTGATGATGTCTTATCTGTACCTTACAGGCTATATATGCAAAACCTAAAACAGACAAAAGGAAGAGTTAATCATTTCTCACCTCGACCCTGAGAATGATTCACCAGTTCATAACCAGTAGAGAGAAAGCAACAAGACCAAAGAGGTTGACTGAAACTAGTTAAAGTCGAGCAATAACAGGAAATTATAGATCAAAGCAATATCATAAATGGACAAGGGTGCAAGTATAGAGTGCAAACCCCATGGAGGGTCGGTTTCTTGAGGAATGGAGAGGTAGGTTTTACATCTTCACAACATGCATTGTGTAATCACCATTTTTACCTTAGCCTCCAGCAGCTGGCAACACTTCAACAGCAGTTGTCCCTCTACGTCCACGTTCCAGCATCTTTCACCAACAACAGTTGGTCATCCACGTTTCAGCAGCTCTCCAGCAACTGCCAACACTTCAACAACAGTTGTCCCTCCACGCGCACCAACAAACAAGCAACAACACAAAAATTGTCATATGTAATTTTCTTTTTTTCTTTTATCTTACACATGTAAAACCAGGGTTATAAAAACCCAAAGAAAGATTGTAAGAGATAGGCAGCAGTAGATGGTAAAAAACAAGAGCAATACAAAGAAAATCAGAAACAAAAATACAGGTTCTCTTCAATTTAGTTTTTTCTTTTATTTTTTCAGCTTTATATATATATATATATATATATATTCAAAATAAAACAGCAAATATAAGAGAAAAATATAGGATTTTTACCTTGGGGTTTCGGGTACCACGTCACCGTCGAAGTCAGGTATAGCGTCGGGAGGTGAGCTTACGCGGTGGCCGAATTTTTTAGGGGCATCGATCACATAAGAGGAAGAGAGTAAGAGATGAAAAGGGAGATAAGCCTTGGGTTTAGGCTCGTTTAAGGAGCGTTTTAGCCTTTCTCGGTTGAAGGAGTTGCCGGTCGGAGTGTGAGGACCACCAAATCGGTGGCTAGCGATGGTGGGTTGTTTTGGTTGAGCGGCGCTGAAGTGAGGGGATAAGAAAAGGAGATGAGATGAACGGGGAAGGGAAGAAGAATGTTTAAGTTTTTTTTAGGTTTTAATTTTAGTTTTTTTAGATAAATATATTAGGATTTATTTTAATTTTAAAAAAATTTCTTTTCATACCCCTAAACATTTACAACATTTTTACATTTTAAACCAATAGTTTTAGGGTTAAATCACAATAAAATCCCTTATATTTCCTACGTTCTTTCGTTTTGGTCACTGATATCCTTTCTTTATTTTTATTTTTGAATTTGAGCATATTAATTTTATTTTGTTTCTATTCTAGTCATATTTACATTTTATTTTATTTTAACATTGATATATTA